GCGAGACCCCTTCAGAGACCCCGGAACGCTCACGGGTAGCAAAGCTAAAGAGAAAAGCATCCCGGGTGGTAACGAACGGCGCGGCCATGTAACGAGTCGGCAGTAACAGGAGAGCAGAGAAGCTGATTTCCAGCAGAGTTCAGTGTGAGTTTGCTCAGGAAGGGCACGCAGTCTCCCAGTTTCCATTAAGAGGAGGTTTCATGCATTACAAAGCGATTTTCCCTTCCCTAGTTTATAAACCAATTAGATAAAGACCAAGTTAATCCCTCACTGCCACAAGCAGACACCAAACACAGAGATTAGTCCCGTTGTCTCACCACCCCCCCGGGTTTTGGCAGCCGAGGGAGCACCGCAGAGCAGGCGCAGGTCGCAAGAGCCGGCAGCTCCACCGGCTCGGCGGGGAGGGCAGCAAGGCCCGGCCACCCAGCCACCAGCCCTCCTCCCCCAGCCCCAAAAAGACGCCTTCAGTCCAAAGGCATCTGATCTTGGGAGTTCACCTGCACTCAGAGCAAGAGGAGGGCAGAGAGAGCTCAGCTCACGCCGAGGGGAGCGGCAGCGATGCCAGCGATGCCCGGGGGGAGCACGCACAGCCCTGCTTTGTGTCGCTTTTTTTGTCTTTCTGTTGTTACTGTTTGCTTTTTCCCACTTTGCCCCTCCAGGCAGAGGCACCCCCCCGCAGCCCAGGCCAGCTGAACACCAACCCCAGCTCTCTCGCAGGGTGACCCACTCACGCACGACAGAAAGCTGGGAGCCCAGGAGGAGGAGGAGGAGGAGGAAGAGCCAACCCCCAGCTGCAGCCCAGAGCAGCAGGAGCCTCGCGTCCCCACCGGGGAACTGGGCTCAGCACAGCCCAGCTCACGTCTTTGCTGCAGAACCTCCACCGCCTGGCACACCCCAACCCTCTCGCGGTCCAACACCAGAAGAGCACCAAGTCACGACTATATCGCGAGAGCCTAAACCAGCAGCCACTCACCCGCCTCGGCTGCGCAGCCAGGTCCGGAGGAGCTGCGGGCCCATCTGCTGTGGAAACCCCCTCTCTGGCACAGCGATGCCCGGAGCAGGAGCTGCCCCCTCCCCAGCAGACCCCTCCTCCGGCACAGCTGAGCCACATCAGGTGCCTCAGCACCACCCATACATTTGCAGCCAGAATGGTGTGACCTAGAATTTGGGATGAGCCTGGGCTGGTCCTGTGGCACCCCAGCATGGGCAGGCAGCTCCCAGGGCCGGCAAAGTCCAGGCCAAGGCAACCAGCAAATAAAAAGATGAATTTCTCTGGTGTTCTGCCCCCAGTATCACAGAAATGCCCGCCCTCCCCTCAGCTTTACGAGGCCCTGCCCAGGTGGTTTAGTGAAGTTGCTGCTTCAGGGGTGGTTGGAATGAGACAGGGATGAACCACTTGCTGCTGAGCACGGTCCCACGGCTCCTGGGAAGAGCTGGGAACGATCCCAGACCAGTTCCTCCCATTAAGAACTCACTAGTTAATACCTCTGCCCCTACCAATTCGGGGGGTCCCATAGTTTTGGCAGAAAGGGAATGAAGGGCGTTCGTGCTCGGAGCAGAAGGCACCCGGCCGTGTGCCGAGGTGGGGCGCGCGGGAGGTGGGTTGGGGGCTGCGGGGGTTCCCAGCCCAGCAGACCTTGGCGTGCGGGCAGCTCTGCGCAAGCCCTTCCTCGTTAAGCCCGACCCAGTGTCCCGTTGCAGGAGAGCGGGCCACCGCTGCTAATTACAGGACTAATACTCCTCCCTGCCAGGGCCCCGTCCCCATCCCCCCCGGGGGCTGGGACAGCAGCGTTTTGGCTGGGCTCCCGCTGCCCCCCGACAGCTCCGGGTGTCTTCACAGCAGATGAGGGAGGCGGCAGCACCGGGGGAAGCTGCTCCCACCCCATTCCGTCGTTTCACTGGTTTCTCAAGCCGGCAGGGTTGCTTTTTAGGAGGCTCCATCTCCACACTCTTCCCTTCAGAGAGGGGACACAGAAGTGTCCGAAAAGGTGCTGGGTCCGTGGTGTTGGGGGTGAGGCGAGACGGCTGCCCTCGCGTCCCCTCGGCTGGGCAGTGCTGCCCACCAGGCTCCCGCAGCCCTATCCCCTCCGAAAGGCAGCGCCAGACACAAACCCAAACGCCTCCTCCTACCCTGGCTGCCAGGCAGCCCCTCTGATCCCCCACGCCACCGGGATCAAAGGAGCACGCTTCCACTGCGACGTTTTTTCCTCCCTGGTCTCTCTTCACCCACGTAACAAACTCCCATGTGAACAGGGCTTTGAGGCTTCCCAGGAGATGGCACACTCCTTCCCGGGGCTTGAAAACTGCAGCTGCTTCTGGCTTTGTCTTAAAACAGATCAATCAGCAAGGCCTTTTTTGGGAAGCACCCTGACAGCACCTGTCCCTCTCCTCAACGCTCCCGAGGACCGGCCCAACAAAGCTCCCCAAATGGAGCCACGTTCGTTGCTTCCTCCCTTTTCCCGACCCAGGTTTCAGGGCGTAGCACTGACGGAGGAACCAGCCCAGGCTCCGATCCAGCAGATGCTGCACAGACACACGGAAGGGGCCGAACGCCCTCGGCACCCAAAGCAGCAGCGAGACTGAGGCGACAAAAGCTGTAAAATAAATTTATGCAAAAGCGAAGTGCTTGGCAGCGTTTAAAACAGACCACAGGAGCCCTGACCCCAAGCCCCCCTCTCCGATCCCAGGAAATCATCCTTTTCCCCTTCAGGCTGGAATCTTACGCAGCCATGGTTTTTTAAATCAACATGCCAGAGATTTGGCTGTGTTCAAGAACTCGCAGATCTGCTCCCCTTTCCTTCGGAAATGGTGAGGAATAACCTGCCGAATACAACCAGGAACCCACACCTTTGGAGGAACAGCTTTAGCCCTGCAAATCGGGCAAGACTCGCTGTATTGATTCAGGGATGAAACTGTTGGTTCTGTGCTCTGCTGGTAACGCCAAGCTTCACAAATGGCTTAACTGATGGGTGCTGGTCCACGCCTCTGGGCACAGAGAGCCCCCTCCTGACCTGACACGAGTGCTCCCAGTCCACTCAGACGGCAAAAACTCAAGCCCGGGATCTGGCCGCCCTGACTGGTTTGTGCATTAGGAAGGACCTCCCTCCTCCCCACTCTCCTTGATGGGAAATTCTCCTTTCCCCTGAGACGACCTGTCCTTCAGGAAGAGCTGATCTCCACCGTGAGGCCCCTGCCTCAGTCACTGCAGAGAGGGGTCAAGGTCACAGTAACACCGAGCGGGTACCAGAATGCCCTTCCACCGAATCACTCCTCAGCAGCAACGCAGAGCAAGTTCCCACCAAGAGCAGCAACGCTAGAGCACCACGTGCCCAGCGCAGGTAACGCCCCGCACGCAGCCCCCGAGGTCTGGTCGCTGGCACCGCGGCAGCAGGCACACGGAAGCCACTGACTCAGGTACTGGAGCTCAGACCTCCTGAGCCTCTTCCAAAATCCGCAGCAGACTGTTGGCTCCATCCCCTCCCTCGTGAGTCACACGCCCACCTGAAACACAGCGTCCTCTGCCCGTCTGTCAGGACCAGCCGGAGCTGCGTACTGGGCTTCTGTTCCCCGGAGACGTGCAAAGTGAGTGTGAGTACAGGCTGCAGGGCCTGGGTGGAAGCTGTTCCAAAAACGACAAGAAGGGAAGTCTCTGTGCCACAGAGGTGTGGTGGGAGCCAAAGGCCAGCTCTGGAGTTTGTTCGTAACTAAGTTAAGTGCCTCAGCATCAATTTGTAAACCACCTCCTGCAACTGCCCAAGCACTCAAGTAAGTTGTAGCAAACTTGTCAGTGTGCCTTTGCTTACACAAGCATTTTTACAACGCTTAAAAATCAACCCTGAGAAATATGCCCTCAACATTATGTTTGAAGAGAAGCTGGTCTGCCTGCCCACCAGACGCACGCACGGTGGCTGGCGTTGTCCGGGCTGACGCGGCCTTGCGCTGCTCTCCCCTGGGGTGGCACTCGGCTGTTGCACTCGACAGAACCACAGCCTTGGTGGAGGAGAGGATCCAGTGAAGAGGAGCCCTGCGGTTTCTTCTGGCATCAGACTAATCATCCAGTTCAGCCTCCTTTTTTCCTCTAGGAACAAAACCAAGGAAGGGTCACACACTTAAAAAAAAGTAGAAACCAAGAAGACCAAATAACTATGTCACTTGACGAGTAAGGGGGTCAGATACACAGGTTTTGAGACATATGGCCATAAATGGAATGTGTTTGGTTCTTCTGTCGCCCAGACCTCCAAAGTAGCCAGCCTCCGCGTGAGCTTCGGCATCTGCCTTCTAGGAACAAAAACAAGGAAGGGTCACACACTTAAAAAAAAGTAGAAACCAAGAAGACCAAATAACTATGTCACTTGACGAGTAAGGGGGTCAGATACACAGGTTTTGAGACATATGGCCATAAATGGAATGTGTTTGGTTCTTCTGTCGCCCAGACCTCCAAAGTAGCCAGCCTCCGCGTGAGCTTCGGCATCTGCCCCGGCAGGGAGGTGTTAGGGGTGTCAGAGATGAAGCTCCCGCACAAACCAGGGACACCCGGCCTGGCACTGCATGGGGCTACCCCCATGGCCTGGCCACGCTGTGCAACTGCCAGTACGAGAGCAGAGAGAGCCCCTTCTTGTGCTTCTGGCTGCCTGACCCAAAGAGCCGAGCAGAGCACGAGGAGTTGCACCGGCCAGGTGTCCTAAGGAATCCAGGAGAGCTGCGTAAGCAACCCCTCGCTACCGCCACCGGCAGCCTTCACTCCTTGTGCTCCATCGGGACCCTGAGAGCAGAGGCAGCTCTGTCCTGACGCACTCCGTTCACCCCCAAGGAACCCTTCAGGCAGGGCGATCGGCGGCCTGCCCCGCCTGGTACCGGTGTGGGTCTGAGGGAACCCAACAACACCCTCCTGAACTACGCTGGGGAGGCAGCGTAGCCACAACACAAGGAGCTCCTACGCATCAGCGGACTTGCTATGGATTTACACCGTTTAAGAGAGCAGCCGCTGGCCTCCATTACGTAAGGGTGGGGGAGTCTGACCCTCCCCTTGCTTTCTGGGCACAGACAGCGGCTCCCTGCAGAGTATTTCTGTTCACCCTCGTGTCACACCTGTAGGCGTTAGCGCTTTGCTTACACGCAGGCGCCAGAAACAGACCAAATCCCCAACGACCTTCCCCAGCCTAGGACACGGTGCTCTGCAGAAGGAACGTGTGAAGTAGCATGGCTACAACCACCAGAAATCACCCTTTATGGAGGCAGCATACGTCCTGATGTCACTTGAGCTCGCTTTGTTACCCCGCCTGTCCCTTTAATGCCATTACTGAAGATCATTACATGAGCAGATCCCCTTTGGAGAGGCAGCCGCTTGGGCTGCCCACACACCTACCTCTCTGGCCCAGAAGATACGACTTCCAGTGGTGAACACAGCTGCTTCCGAATATACTCCCTCGATCTAATATCAGCCTGGAATTAAGGAGGAAAATGAGTGAAAATGGATTGATCAGCCTGCTTGGTGCCCCCCTTTGCCACCTCAGCGCGCCCCCGCACACCCTGATGTCAGCACATCACAAAGAGCTCTCGTACGACTGTGTTGCAAAGAGGAACCCGCATGTTTCTTCCCTTGTTTGGTTTGTGTGCTGCTTGGGAGAATGAAGACTTAAAGTGAGGAACTAGAGGGTCCTGGACCAAACAGCCTTACCGGAGCACAGTCCATTTCAGAAGCAGAAATGACATTCGCTGTCTGCCCCTTTACTTCTCAGAGGAGTAAGGAGGTGAGACGCTGGCACCGACAGTTCCTGCCTGTCAGTGCTTAAGGTCTGCTCTGCCCAGCCCTGCCCACCCTGACCCGACGGCAGGATGAACAGCCAAAGCAGGACCCAGGCCGGGCATCCTCAGCAAATCCTGGCTGCAGCTGAGTGCAGTCAGCCTTCACCAGGGGTCCCTGTGAGACTCGGAGGATGAACTAGCGCGGGCTCCCAGCACACGCTGCAGTGCAGCGAGCCTTCTTGCAGCAAGCACTGACCCAGCTGGAATCCCTCACCTCACACCGACACGGAATGGCTGCTCCTCATCGTCCAGAGAGGCGACAGGCCAGCAAGGACTTCCAGAGGCTTACTAAGAAGAGGTGTTGACTGGCAAAGGGAGAGTTGCTGAGGTGACGGGCTGCTTTGTCTCTACACCAGAACTGCAGCTCCCCTTTAATGAACCCTGGCAGCAGAGCCAGGAGAGACCTGGGAGTCTGAGAGTGGTCTAGTGCTTTCATCCTTTGAACCAACCCAGATGACTTCTTCCACATGTAGGCACCTCCAAATGCAACGCGGGAAAACATAACAAGCAGCTAAGCTCCTTCACAGGCCTCCCCCAGCAACAGCTCATCACCGTCTGATGAGAGATGGAACAGACTTGTCAGAAAACTGAGGGCAGGGTCTTCCTTCCCTCAAGAGGAGATACTCCAACAGATACAACCAACAGAAGCTGCCCCACCACCCTCACTCTGTAAAGGGATCACATGCCATGATCACATGCAGGTCTCCGCAGTGCTGAGGAATCCCTGGGCATCAGCAAAATGCTCGCAGATAAAGATGCCCAAAGCAAATGACCCCCCTTCAGCCCAGGACTCTGCCCACCCTTCTGTTTCTCGGGATATTCTTCATCCCTGTTGCTCAAAGCTATCAAAATCCTTCAGCCTGTACTGACGTACAAAAGCAGTACCTCCCCTGGCCCCCAGGAAGTTGTTGGGAGTGCCAAAACCATATGGATGTGAAGGCAGATCTCTGCAGCACTGCGAAGCAATTTAGCCTGAGACAGTGGCTCATAGATCCCTTCTCGAAAGGTGGGGAACTACTGGAGCATTTTATGGACTTTTCCCAGAGCAGCAGAATGCCCCACGGACTCTGCTGCAATAACCTTCGCTCTGTGCTCAGTGAAACAGCAGCTGTGTCCCAGGGCTACGCTAACAGGGCACTGCAAGCAGATGCAGGCTGCAGCCTCCAGGCTCACGGCACTCCAGGATCATCCATGGCCTTTAGAGCTGTGACACTGTGACGTTCCCAAGGGATTGGCTTTTCTGGTCACTCAGCAGCTGAGAAATGGGACTCTTCCCTCCACGGGGAAACTGTAGATTGAGAAGGGGAACAAGGCTATGGAGAGGGCTGTGAAGACTTTGGGAATACGGCAATCCAGCAGGCGAGTTCTCAACAGGACATGGGATGAAAAGAGAGGAGTTGGCATTGCCTGTTCTTGTACCCATCCCTTTCCTTCCTCTGTTCCAGCAGTTGTATGATGCAGCAACAGATGGAGAAGCGCACCACTTGTCTGCTGCATATCCTTTTCCCCAGGCAAGAGCTTGGCTCATTCTGCCTATGCGCCTGATGGCTGTGCGATGGTAATTATGCAGCTATAGCAGGTAAAAACATCCACTAAAAGCAAACAGAGACAAGACACAAGCACATCCTTGGCTCTGTCGTTTCTCGGCAGCAGTGGCAAGGCACACACCCTTCACACTGTCCTACCTCAGGAGTCCAAAGGCTGCCCAGGACGACGAGGGGAGCGGTGTACACACCAGGCCATATCCGTGTGCTGGGCTCTGCTTTCCAGTACCAAAATCAAAAGGAGTAATGTTGAGACTCTACCAAATTCATGGTTTACTGCCCTCCTCATTTGAAATCGAGCTTGGAGCCATCACCAAACCTCATCAAGCGCATCGTCGTGCAAGCGTCCAGTTCCTCCCTTCTTCTTCCGTCACTCTCCTGGGACACGTGCTCTCCTGAGCTCACCAGGAAAAACACATTGCTGTGTCCTGGCAGCAATGCCGGAAAGTGATGTGGTCCGAGTGGGGCAGGGGAACACGAACGGAAACCCCAAGAGCTCCAGAAAGTGTTGCTGGGCATTAACTGGATGTTCTTGTTCCCCAGAAGTGTTAGTGTTCAGCTTTCGAGTGCAGGAGACTCTCGGATGCTATCACAAGCACCCAGATCCTGGGCTCTTGGACAACTTTGAGAACTGGCAGTTGATTTTTACATTCCCTCAAAGTTTTTTTTTTTTTTCTTTTTTAGAAACTTCCTTTCTCAAAGCTACTGCTTCGCCACGACATTTCAGAACAGCTGCCGTGCCCCACCTCAAAGGCAGACTGTCTCTCTCCACTTACAAAGCAGTATGTGACCTTCCCAGTTGGAAAAGCTTCACAGCATATGATGATCATGCTAATAAAGTGGGTTAACGCATCCCCAGTGGCTGTCCTTGAAGCATTTGCTACTCTCATCGCTGTTCTACTTCTGAAGAGTCTCTCCCGTAGCTCGAGAAGCTCCCCCCTACCCCTCCATCCCTGCCGCTCCCAGTCAGAGCTCTCGGGTGGAGGCTCTGCCGGCTTACTGCTGGAAACGCAGCTCCACAACTGCTTAACAATTCTGCAAGCTCCAGAATGAAAAAATAGTTACATAAGGGGTGGTTTGTTTGGGAGATTTTTTTTCCCTTCTCTCTATAATTGGACAGTTTCATAACTGAACTGACAAATAACTTTGATCACTCTTCAGGATAAGAGATTACGTGATGTATTTTATAACAAGGGAAGGAAGTCGTTCAATAGAGTCCCTACCAGGAGACCAAGGTAGCAAAAGTCAGATCGACACACTATTTTTCTAGGGAAGAAAAACCCCAGCCCTGTTCTGCTGATAACATAAGCTAATGCTTGATTAGGTGGCAAGTTACCGGCCAGTCCTCACTCCTAACGCAGCGCTGAGAGACAGCTTAACCCAGCGTATTAACCAAGAGGCTAATCAATAAGATGGATAACTGTCCCGTAATAATCCTCACAGACTGCTGCTATTTTCAGAGGGGACTAGTGCTGGCATTAGGGTCTGGAATTGTTGCTTTGCCTATTTTATGAGGGGCAGCGGTGATCCCTGTGTACACAGCAAGCTTGCAGCGGGGGCTACATCCAAAGGGCGTTAAGAGTTCCAGGATATCAGCTGCTGGTTTCCCTGCTGAGCCGCAGGAGCCGTTCACCCAGAGGAGAGGGATGACGGCTTATTTCTCAGTTCTCCTAAGGGCAAGCGCTTAATATTTCCCACGAAGCGACCTGCAGAAATTCAGAGCTCTGGGCAGGCCTACGTCTGTCCTTCTTGGTGGGCTGGAGCACGGCTAGGCTGTCCCATCAGCCACATCCTGAGCCAGCAGGAACGGGCTGGGCAAGGCGCCAGCTGGAGCTGAAAGGATCATCAAGTGAGCTGGGGGCTGGTGCGCAGCCAGCCGGGCACCTGAGCAGCCAGAGCGGAAGAATCAGTCCCAGGGCGATCCCTGTCAGCTGGAGAGTGTTAAAAGCTTCTGTTTCCCCACTCTGCGTGGGGATCCTGGGTCTGGGCAGGCTTGGAGCGTGAGCAAGCACCAGAGAGGGGTTCTGACCTCTGCCAGAAGTGGGCAAGGGCAGCTGCTCTCAGGAGGGCTTGGGATTGCTTCAATTTGAATGCTTTGCTTATTATTCCGGGATGACAGCTCCTGCCTACCTCAATCCCTGCCTGGGTAGCTCCAAATGACCAAATCTTTGCAGAAGAACCTCAAAATCTCACAAGCTGCCTGGGCAGAGAGATCACCCCCATGCAAGCAAAATTTTCCCAGATCGGCCTTGCACTTACACATGGAATAGGGACGAAGTGGGATGTAAATACCGGTTGTAGGTGATAATGAACTGCTCTCTCTGAAAGATCACTTCTCTCACCTGCATCACAGCCACAGTTCCTTTGGCAGCACGGCCACATTGTGGGCTGAATGCAAATCAAACTGCTTCTGATCACTGCCGAGGTACTGTTGCATGCCCAAAAGCACAACAAGCCCTGTACAGACTGGCCAGCCGTACCTCGAGGGAAGGTTTAAGTTCCTGCAACTGCACAGCACTACACGTGCTGCACCTTCACACAAACCGTAAACACAGCCTCAAGAAGGTAAGGGCAGCTGAGCTCTCTTAAGAGCATTACGCTTCTAGGGCTACCAGAACTTACAAACTAAGAGCTAACGATCCAGAAGTCTTTCACAACACTGGGAAAGCCGTAAGCATATCGCCCACCAGGTCTGCAAGCTTGTTCTGGGGACATACCATAGCAAAAAGGCCAAGTCAGTCATCCACAGCAGGACTGCCCCAGCCTTCTATATCCCAACTCCAGCTTTAGGTGCCCAAGAGCCGAGGCTTCCAGCACTGCCCTGTGCCAGGATCTGTGACAGTTACCATACCGAGGAACTGCGATAGGGAAGGGTCCCATGGAAAGGTTTAAGTGTCCTTATCCCCTGCCATCCCTCTACCCCTACAGTAAACACACTGCCTTTCGGATTTTTAATCTCTCTGTAAGGGAAGCGACAGTTCATTCCATCACTTTAAATAAAGGTTGCAGTTAGAGAACGGGAAGAGTCTCAGAACACAGACAGATACTGGAGATAGTTGGAAATGAAATGAGGGTGACGAAAATCTCCGAGACACCTTCTTGTTTCCAAAGGGAACGCTTTTCCCCTTTCCTCCGAACACGCCGAACTGCAGAGCTAGCTCAGAGCTCTGCGGAGGCATCTGTCCCTTGCTGGAAGAGATTACATAAGAAGATCCATCAGCCTACTCCCGTCTGGCAGGTAGTGGTTTCTGAGATCAGAAACTCCAGCTCTGGTATGGACGCTTCAAGGTTTGTTTTGCTCTAAGGTGTTAAAAGATTTTTGTCTGGTTTATAACTCAGGACTCTGTTTTCAGAAAACACTGCAGTACCAACGAGAAGCTCCCGTGTGCAGAGGCTGCGTAACAGCCCCCAGCAGGAGCATCTCAGCGTTGCTCGGAGGAGCTGCAGAGCAAAGGTGGCCAGGCACCTGACAAGCACGGCGGTGCAGCGACGCGAACGGCGTGTTCCAGGGCAACGGTACGAACACGGGCATCTGAATGGGCCCTGCTCCCCGGACAGGCGCTGGGTCTGGCCCGCCTGAGCCACTAATGGCAGGGTGACCCTGAGAGAAGGGAAGTGCTTGTCAGGCTAGAAGTCCCAGAGGCTTTATGCTTCTCCAGATCCTTTCCTCAAGCCCTGCTGCGATTTAATTAGCCTGAAGCTGAGCCTTGGTGGCAGCTGCTGCTCACAGACAGTGATCCAGTGCTGTCACCTACTGGCTGGCTGCCCCCCCAGAGCCTGCAGCTCCTTGCGGAGTGCAGTAGCAGGCAAAAGCCCAGAGGAGCAGCACTGCGGTCTGCACTCGGCTCAAACTGCCCAGGAAAACTGCATTTCCAGCTCCTGGGTATTAACATCAGCATCACAGAAGTTGCCTGCAGAGAGGAACCAAGAAATCAGTCAGGCTGGGTTTGCAGTGAGGGCTGTGTGTGCTTCAGGCACTGCGTCAGAAGAACAAGCGCGGAAGAAGGAAGGATCAGTTAACTACCACGTAAACACCACCACAACAGGCTGGGGAAGAACAGGCCAGCACGAAGGGTGCAGCTGCAGAACTGCAGAGGGGCGGCAAACTGAGGCTCTGAAACATGGCCATAGGCTTGGCATCCACAGCCCCCTCCGCTGCCTGCTTCCCTGGCTCCAGGCCTGCCTCCCCCTTCCTCAGCTCCCCTGCTTCTGTACCTGGCGGATGGGCTCTGGGATCCGGTACCTGCAGCAGGACTTGACTAGACGCACGGCTGTCTCCAGGCACACCCTGTGACCCACAGAGACATAAAGCGGCTTAGAGCTGTTGTTGTAGCTACGCAGGACCTGGGCATTCAGAAACAAGAAAGATCAAATACTTAAGAGGCTTATTTTAACAAATGCAGAGTGGCAGATGAATTACAAGCTAGCCGGTTGCCTTCAGAAGGTGGGATGGTGGCTCTGTATTTGGTAACTCCCAGCCTTCTCGATCCTCTACTCCTCTACTCATAGGGACCGTTTGCCCTTTTGGACCCTGTGGCCCTTCCCCAAATGCCTCACACCACTCTGGGAAGCAGTGAGACTTGCTAACGCAAACTATGTTGAAATAACACCAGACGCAGCAAGTTTCTCACATCTGCCTCTTTCCTGCGCAGCACTTTCTAAGCCAGACGCTCCCATGTTTCATCCTGGTGAGCTGCTACAGAACTGGCACCTCCCCATGACTGGGGCTCACAAACAGGGGTGCCAGAGCCATCGACATGACTAGATCCAACACCTGAACTGCCAACTCTTTCTACAAATGCTTGAGCTCCCAGGACAGGGAAAGCAGTGTTACCAGTCACCTGCTGACACCGTGCCGGCCTGAACTAACGTCACTGAGACAGGCCCACTATAGAGACAACATCCTCCAGCTCTCCCAGCTACACAAAGCTGGAAGACTTGGTGGTCAAGCGAATGGGAAACTCCCGGCAGCTTACCATGCCCAGGACTCTCCCCGAAGCGCCTGTCAGTGGGAACGTATCTCCTTCCCTCTGCAGGGAACGAATCTAGGGATAAACACACACAAGGTCAGTTGGTAAGAAAGTACTTGTATGCAGATGTCCCAATTCTCTTGGGATCTTAAAGAGTGGAAATGAATTCCCAGCCTGGCCTAACCTGCTCTTTGTGCAGCTCATCCCTGACCAAGCCATCCATCTGCAGGAGGTTCTTGGCCACTCCGATGCATGGTAGATCCGTCAGGACTCCGAGGTGACAGGCCACACCAAATCCTGCCAACAACGAGTCACTGTAACTGCAGGATGCCAGGGAACGGGAATCTCAAGCGGCAGCACAGGGACCCTGGAGAGCAGGGCTCTCCAGTAAAGCCCTACCTCTGGGATGGAGCAGGCCATTCCCATCTACAAAAAGTACCTGAAAAAGCCAAAAAAGAAATGTTATTTCCTGTAGGCTGAGAGCCACTCCAATAAGCAAACAGCCATGCTGGCCCTGTCAGGAAGAAGTCTCTCTCAGTTCTTTTGCTTCTCTGTAAGGGTCTTCCTGGGGTGCCATCTACCTCTGACTCTAAATGATCAGCAGCATGAGCTCTTAGGGACTGGCAGCGCTCTTTGCCGGGGCTGCAGGCAGAATGGGACTCCCATTGCCAAGGGAGGCCTGGCTGTTCCTGGCTTAGCGCCTCCAGCCCCTAAGGAAAGGGCAACAGATGCTTCGGTACAACTCGGACGCTGCGCCTTCCGCCCCCCCAGCAGAAACCAGCCAGCCAGCGCGGCCCCAGGAGAGGGAAGAACACCTCTCAGCAGCACCCTGCGCCCTCACGACATCTCAACTCGGGACAAAGAAATATGCCACACCTGCGGTTTGAGCCTGGGCT